AAACGTCGTCGACAAAAAACGCTTCGTTAGAATTCTCTCAAACTCAAGTATGTTGTAGCCCTTGACCGTGGCTATCTTTCCCAATTTGAATAGTATCACAATATGGAGTACAACTCGAGTTATGAACTTCGGCGCACTAGGGGGTATGCTGCCATAGAAAAACGTAACTCAATCACAATTGTCTCACAAGTTCACACAAGAAAGTTGGAGTAGCAATAGAACCAGGTAGGAGGGGATGAGGAGGACGAGAGGGAAGGTCCCAAGGGATTCCCCAACCAAGGAAACCCCATACCACACAATTCCCCTCTCTATAGGCACCCCAACTTTGACATTTGTCACTTTCCCAACTCATGCCATCCACCTCACCCAACTTGGCCACACTTGCCAACATGGTTTGGCTTCTCCCAACCACTTGGCATCATCTACAGTGATGGTGACGAATTTCCCAACCCCCAAAAGTCTGTACCCCATATTGAGTCAACCCGCAAATTCCCATAGTCGCCGCATCTCAATAAAAACTTCGAACGATCATATCTTTCTCGTTCTTGCTCCGATCAAGGCGATTCTCGGTTCGTTGGGAAGCTCTTGAGAAGAAGAGTCACTTCAGATATCTTCTCAAGCCAAATAACATTCACACACACTCAGAAAATCCAAACAACACCAAACACAAATTCTTGCACACGCTCACACCACGCATGCAACACACGAACATATGATGGGAGGCAGATAGACGTGAATGCAAATGATAGCATCACATAACACACGCTACTACGGGAATTGCTGCTACAAGAGGCACACGACGAAGTCACCTCAGGCCATTTCGGAGTAGAAAAACACGGCAGCAGCTGCAGCGGTATTATTACTGGCCCGAAATGCTGACCGACGTGCAGCGACACGTGGCATCGTGTCCCACCTGTCAACTCATGAAATCATCACGGAAGCGGCCGGCAGGACAGTTGCAGCCGATACCACCCCCAGAGCGTGCTTGGCAGCAGGTGACGATGGACTTCGTCACGGGGTTACCGGCCAGAGCAAGTGGGAACAACGCGATCCTGGTCGTCGTCGACCGGCTGACGAAAATGGCACATTTCACAGCCTGCAAAAAATCAATCACAGCCGAAGAAACAGCCCGCCTCTTCATCTCAACCATCGTTCACCTATACAGGATACCAGCAGCGATCATCAGCGATCGCGACATGAAATTCACCAGCAATTTCTGGCGGAACCTATGGCAGCAGTTCGGCACGAGACTGCAATTTAGTTCTTCGTACCACCCCGAAACCGACGGACAGACAGAACGGACAAATCAGACCATGGAACAATTAATCCGAGCCACGTGCGACGATCCGACCACCTGGGAACAGCAGCTGCCACTCGTCGAATTCGCGTACAACAACTCGCCATCCGCCACGACCCAACAGTCACCGTTTTACCTAAACTACGGACAAGACCGTACAGTGTTAAGAAACAGCAGGAAGTTAGAAATGAGAAAGAGGGGTTTCACTAGCAAGCAGTTGAGTACATATAGCAAACCCTAAATTGGCTGTACTCACTATTGAGTACCCCACTGCAGGCTAGACAAAACATAACATTCTGACACACCCCCATAGCCAAAGTGGGGTGTAATCAGCACAACAAGAAAAGCAAAACAAGCTCAGGGTGGATCACAATGTCACCACACATTCTGAGCACAAGTACAAGCAGCAGCAGTTTATAGTTCACAGATATAAGCAAAGCTAGAGGCAGTCACAGAGGGCAAGTGAGGAGGAGGAGGCTAGACTGATAGGAAAGGAGAGAGGAGGCAACGGCTGAAGCTGCAGACACACGGGCAACAGGAGCGGCACGCACTGTGGCTACCGGAGATTGTAGCCTCCGGACTACTGGAGTAACTGGCTCCGCGACTAACTCTGAGCTGCAGGAGCAACGGACCCACGGGCGACTGGCGCAGCTGGCGACCGGAGATTGTAGCCTCCGGACTACTTACTCGCTGGGCTACCGGAGATTGTAGCCTCCGGACTACTGGCACTGCTAGCGACACGACAGCTACCTCCCTTCAACCTCCCCCAAACTGTCCCACCCCCCTTTCACACACCCCCTGCTACACCTCTAACACTGCTCACACTCCACCCCCTAGCACCACTCCATTGTCTCCCACACATCCACCCCCCTCAGCGGCAGCTGCAGCAGTGGGAGACGGAGGAGGAGGAGGAGCAGGTGATGCCACACACCCGCCACCCCCCACTCGCCACCCCCAAACCCTAACACAGGGTAGGGCCGTAGAAGGCGGGTAGGGAGGGTACGGGGGGGGGGGGGCAGGGCCGCGACGAAGACAGGAGGGGCCGACGGGTGGCCCCCCGCAGTCGCCCCTCCCGTCGCCCGTCGCGGCGCCCTGGGGGGGGCCGCGCGGCCGGGGCAGAGCCGGGGCAGGGTCGGGGCCGGGCTGCGACAGTGCAGGAGCAGGGCCGGGGCAGAGTCGGGGCCGGGGCAGGTCCGGGACGGGGCCGCAACAGGCCCCCAGGTCGCCGCGACAGGCGACGAAACCCGCCGCGCGTCTCGGGGCGCACGACGGGCTGTGCACCGTCGCGCGCCACGGGGCGCACGACGGGCTTTGCACCGTCGCGCACGACGGGGCGCACGACGGGCAGGGCTCCGTCGCGCGCCAGCGGGGCGCACGACAGGCAAGCAGGCAGAAAACTGCCGCGCGCTCGAAGCGCGCGGCGGGAAGAAAAATTGCCGCGCGCCACGGGCGCGCGGCAAGCAGGCAGTGCGCGCCTCGGGCGCGCGATGGACAGAGTAGAAGCAGCGGAAGCATTGGGTGGGCCCATCCACAGGATCGACCCGTGAGGGTCGACCTGCTCTGATTCCATGTTAAGAAACAGCAGGAAGTTAGAAATGAGAAAGAGGGGTTTCACTAGCAAGCAGTTGAGTACATATAGCAAACCCTAAATTGGGCTGTACTCACTATTGAGTACCCCACTGCAGGCTAGACAAAACATAACATTCTGACATACAGTACCCATGACCCCGAATCCCGACAACTGAGTACCACGTGCGCAACAGTTCGCAGAAATATTACAAGCAGCACGAACCAGGGCAGCCGAAGCAATAAAAAAGACCAACGTCGTCGCTAAGCGCAACGCCGGCCGACACCGCTAAGGGTTCGTTAATTATGTGCGTCGGTTCGTCCCCGACATGGCACGCCTAACTGCCTCGCTGACGGACTTACTGCGGAAGGGGGTCGCATTTACGTGGGGGGAGAAAGAGCATGCTGCCTTCTCTGCCCTAAAAACTGTTCTCTGTTCACCGCCTGTACTGCGCATCGCCGACTGACACTGCAGACCTGTCACTTACCAGCCCGACCACCTAGTTTTACTAGACACTCAAAACCTCCGCCTGCCCATAACCCCGAAACTCCGCCCCCGATATTGCGGGCCATTCCGCATCAGCCACGTGATCACACATGTCACCGCCCACCTCCTCCTCCCTGCTGACTGGTACGTCAGCCCGTCATTCCACGTCAGCCTGCTTCGCCCTTACGTCCCATCCACCAGCCAACTGGCCCGCAACCGCCCAGCCAGCATGACACGACCGCCGACAGAACCAGTCATCACGCCCGAAAAGATTCTGAGCCACCGAGTTCGTGACCCACGGGGAGCTCGAAGGGTCGAATTTCTAATCCGCTGGAAAGACCGCATGCCCACCGAGGACAATTGGGTTCCCCTGGACAGCATCGCAAACCACCTCGTCCTCACCGAGTACTTGCGCAGGCGGAATCTTCGGGATGTACACGCGCTTTCGTAAAGAAGGGCCTCTGTAGGGGGTAGTGTAAGGACAATTTCTTTTCCTTACTTCGCATCCCTGCTCGGCGCGTACGCTATTGTTCCCGCCAACAGCACCCCACAATAATCCGTTACCACTCGCGACATTCGCCTCGACCCCATTCCCGCCACTGTTCACGATGCGACCCAACCTCACGGTTCGGCTGGTAACCCGCGCTCCGGACCTCCGCCTCGACAATCCCCAACCTCGGTGCCAGGCCCGTCGCGCACCACAGTTTTCAAACGTTACCGTTAACACTGTAGCTTCGCTATATATTTTTCGCTCAATCCTTCGCTCATTGGATATTGTCTCGATAGTGCAATCCTCGCTCGCTCACTCAATTGCACTCGGAACACATATCATAACTTGATTCGGTCAGAGCTACGTTATTTGTTTTGCTCAGAGCAGTCTCTTATAAATTGTAAAAGGGGGGCTAATATGTAAGTAGGAGAAACTACGTCGGTGTGGTTTCGAAGCGCGCCATTTTTCCATGCGCCTCGACACCACAATTATTGGCATTACTGGGGCAAATTCTCCTCACCACTCCATCAACTTCATCCAGTCAACACCCTCCCCTAGATTCACCCACCTTTCCCCTAAAATGTCTTCCGCACGAACCCACAGTCCACAATGTCTTTAGTGGCTACAGCAGTCTTTACATCCTTCCCCTGCACCTACCGACGACGTCTCTCGAGGCGCATGTACAAAGTGACGGCACGGAACTTCCAACATGTAAGTCACGTATATCAACCCGCTCGTCATTCCCTAGCTCAGCGTACACAAGCACCACTGTGCGTACGTAATATCCAAGCGCTTCTCACGCCAGAATCGTTGGTAGAAATTCACGCCAGAACTTACCTTCCCGCGAATGCTACTCGAGTAGGAGTGTACACCACTCACATAGACATATTTTTCCATCGTCCTTGCGTACAACTCGCGTTTTGTAGATCCGATAGTCTTGAATCACAGTCAACGGCACGATGTGTACCGCCAATCGACTCCTCCTCGCCCTTTTGCTCCTCGCTGCCACGTGTCAATGCCTCTCTGTCCGACGTAAGTACGGGACGCATCAGCTTGACGCATAGGTAACCGTACTGAACCGCAATGTGCACATGTTGCACGGGAGGGTATAATTCGATATCTGACCTCGTTCGCTAAGCATTTCTTTTCCCCGCCCACAGATGTCCAGCCTAGAACTGTGCCAAGCGGCAGTGGTGGTAGCGGTGGTGGCGGCGCCGGTGGCGGCGGTGGCAGCGGCAGCGGCAGCGCTCTCTATATCGTGCGCCTTCGCTCCGCGCTCCCCCTCGCCGCGTATCGCGGAGCCGTCTCCAGCTTCTCCGGCTGGGCGGACGACAACGATGACGACGAGAGTAGCGACAGCGCTGCCCGCCCGGCAGGTGGCGGTGGACGAAGAGGTGACGGCGACGGGTGGCAGAGTGCCGCGCCGCGCGCGGCTCAGCAAGAACAACCCGCAGGTTAAGGCGTACGCGCAGATGCTGGAGACGCAGCAGGCGCAGATCGCGTCGGAAGTGGGCGTGGCTTCGGACAAGATGGCGTACAGGTGAGCAACCAATGCGTTTACGAGGTAGTAGCGCGCGGATGTGAGATTCTAGACTCGGCCGTTTACTGACTTCTGGCTACCGCACGGATGCGTGGCGTTGAGCAAGATGGCGTACTGGTGAGTAACAAACGCGTTGGAAGCAGCCCGGTATATCATACAACGCGAGTAGGATCTTGGTTTTTACTTCTGATTTGCTTTTGAAGGTGCCGTTGCTAACCGCCGCCTCTCACACTGCCACATAGCGGCCCCATTTCTCCCGCCACCTCTTTGTTTTTACTCTTTGTCCACACGTCCCGCCTCCTCCAACCCAACTGACAACTCTTCTCCCCACACCCCGTCCCCCTCGGGCAGCTACATTAGTCCTCCAACTTGATGGCACCTATCATGCTCGCACCTAAAGTAGCCGACACCTCGTTCCTATTAACCTGTGCCTTCTTCCCCACCTCCGCCCCTGTTGTCCCGCCATTGCGCCCCACGTTCCCCCCCGCGCAGCTATAAGTACTCGTCCAACGGCTTCTCGGCGGAGCTGACGGCGGAGCAGCTGCGGCGGCTGAAGCGCCACCCCGCCGTGGCGTCCGTGCGCCCGAGCGCGCGCAAGCGCCTCTTCACGACCGAGTCGCCCACCTTCCTCGGGATGAACAGCGCCGGGTCGCTCTGGCCCGCGAATGGCGGGCAGGAGAAGGCGGGCGACGGCACGGTGGTTGCCATCGTCGACACGGGCATCTGGCCGGAACACCCGTCGTTTAGCGACAAGGGATTCTCCTCGTCGCGGCCTGCTGGGTGGTTGGGGAAGTGCGACACGACGAAGGATTTCAAGTGCAATAACAAGCTCATCGGAGCGCGCGCGTTTTATAAAGCGTATAAAGGCGCCAACGGGCTGGATCTCTCTGAGGACTGGCTGTCTCCGCGCGACGCCAACGGCCACGGCACGTGGTGTGCGGGGTGAGTCTGGTTGCTGACATTCAGTGTCCGTATGGTGCGATACAGATGTCTGTCCATGCTCCCAGTCCTAACCCTTCGCAATCCTTTCCCCAATATTTCTTCTCTTCATGTATCTCCAATGCATCCCCCTCCATACGTCCCCTCGTATGCGGTCCCCCTCCCGCCATCCCGCCTTCCACGCATCCCCCACCTCCCACCACACGCAGAGCGGCAGCGGGAAACAAGGGAGTGCCCATGGCGGGCGGCAAGGCGAGCGGCATGGCGCCAGCAGCGCGCCTCGTAATGTACAAGGTCTTCTGGTCGTCCAGCGATGGGATGTGGGCGGAGGAGGCGGACATAATCGCAGCCGTCAATCAGGGCGTGGCGGACGGCGTGGATGTGATCTCGCTCTCCCTGGGCGCCGTGAACCCCACCGACACCTACTTTGACGACATCGCCTTCCTCAACGCCAACCTGGTATGTCCTTCTCCCCTCCCTGATCCCCTGTTTTCTCTCCTTGGCTCTCCCGACCTCTTTTCACATCCCACCTACTTTGACGACATCGCCTTCCTCAACGCCAACCTGGTGTGCCCCTCTCTCCTTACCACTTGCTCTCTCCCACCATTGAGACTTCCCCTCTCACCATTGAGACTTCCCCTCTCACCATTGAGACTTCCCCTCTCACCATTGAGACTTCCCCTCTCACCATTGAGACTTCCCCTCTCGCCATTGAGACTTCCCCTCCGTTCTCCCCTGCCTGCTCCGCTCCTCGCTCTCTCCCCACTCCTCTCGACTCATACCTCTCCTACATCTACATCGCATTGCTGTGCTGCCCTCTCTCCTGATTGCAAACCCAGCATGCTCCTGCTGCCCATCACAATGCTCTGCTATCTCTCCTCTCCCCTCCTTCCTCCCCATCTTCCCAATGCCCAGGCGGGAGTGGTGGTGACCTTTGCTGCAGGCAACGATGGCCCCCCTGGGAGTACCCGCACGCTCGACAACTACGCGCCCTTCTACCTCACAGTCGGCGCCAGGTGAGCCTTCTAACCCTCGACAAAACCTTCCACCTCGCTCCCTGTACCTCCATCATCACACATTCGACTCGTTTTGATACGATGCAAGTTCGGCAAGCACAGAGGTCGGAGCGTTCGCATTTCTTTCCTCCCCCAAGTCCCCCATCTCCTTTATTCCTACCAACCTCCCTCCCACACCCCCCCAACCCCCCGCATCCTTATGCCCCACTCCCCCTCCTCCCCTTCCCACAGCACCATCGCCCGCGGCGGCCTCACGCTTGCCATCTCAGCAGGCGCATCCAGGTCAGCATCATCCACCAATCTGACGTCATCCTTAGCCACACCCTCAGCCAGCGATACCGCCCCCAACGTGGCGGAATTCTCCTCCACGGGTCCCCTCATTTTCCCCGACATCGGCACCGGCAACGGTCTGGCCACCGACTCAATCTTAAAGCCCGACATTCTCGGCCCGGGCGTGGATCTTTACGCTGCTGCCCCGGGCACCCGCGTGGGCGACAAGGGCGGGTCGGCTCAGTTGTCCGGAACGTCCATGGCGACGCCTCACCTGGCGGGGATCGCTGCTCTGGTGATGCAGAAGTACCCCTCTTGGAAACCTGCGCAGGTCATGTCTGCAATCATGACCACAGCTACAACCAAGGATGTCAACGGCGCTGCCATCTCTAGTGCCGCCTCTGGGCAAGTCGCCACGCCATGGGATATGGGCAACGGGCATGTGTTCCCACCCAAGGTTCTCGACCCCGGGCTCACGTACGACGCCCGGAAAAGGGCTTATCTGAATTTCCTGGCTGGGCTGGACATGCAGAGGACCCAGTCTGAGTACCCGAATGAGAAGCTCACCTCTGTGCCTCCCAGAGAGCTCAACCGCCCCACCATCGCACTTGCCAGCCTCAAAGGCTCGATCACGGTCACGCGCACCGTCACCAGTGTCGCTACCTCTGCCTCGACTTACACTGCCAAGATTCAGAAGCCAAATGGGGTGGAGGTGACGGTAAATCCCAGCAGCTTCACCATCTCGCCTGGTAAGAAGGTCAGCTTTGTGGTGACCTTCAAAGTGACTAAGGCTTCGGAGAAATTTCAGTATGGGAGCCTCACTTGGGTGGATGAGAAGGGTCACTCTGTTCGGTCCCCCATTGCAGTCAAGCCTGTCCGGAAGTGAGGGAGAGGCAGCACACTTGAAGTGAATGACCATAATGGGGAATAATGGGAATAATGATGGACAAACCAGATATTGGTGGTCCAGATTGGCATACGAGCTCTCTTAATAAAAGAGCAGGGTGTGCACTGGATGAATCTGTACTTTGCTTACCGTAATTGTTTAAGGAATATATTTATATAGCGTTCCACATGTGTAGGGTTAATATTGCTACTATTGAGAGGAGGACCCTAGTTTTGTTTAATAAATGTGTACTTGGACTCGTAGGACTCATTTGCCCAACCGACAGATTGCACTCCTCTGAACGAACGTGACTGGACGAGAACCACAAAATCTGAGAAGAAACATGTCTCTCCTCATCAATGTCAGTGAGGGGTGTTGGGCTGAGAAAAGCCCTTAGGATCTTTCAAGGCTAAGATTGAGGTTGAAGTAGGAATGTTGTAGTTGCGGAAGCGTTTAATATCAAGTTGCTGAACCACCCTGTACTAGTGTGTGAGAACAAGATAAGTTGTTTTAATAGCAAAGAGATACAAGCCTTTTATATTATTACAAAGGAATATGAAAGGTTCTACTTTAACTGTTTTGCTGTTGCGGTTCAATACAGTGCCGACTCGGGTAGCTGCTCAGTATCGAGTCAGTTATGTGTCCTTGCTGTCGTACTGTGCTTTTCGTCGAGTCAAAGGTCAGCGACCTTTGACCTTCGCGTAACCTCCAGCGGTTGCTTTTGTTGACTCGTGTTGCTTCACTGTAGTCTGCTCCGTTTCGTGTTGATACTTCGATACTTCATAAGCGTTTTAAGTTACTTGTTTCCAACACTCCCCTTCGCTTCTGGAGTGTTGCTGCTGATGACGTGTCCTTGTCTAGTCAGCAGCATGCAGTACTCGAACTTCTGTTTTCCGAGTTTCTTGGTCAAGAAATCGGCTGACATCTCGGATGTGGGACAGTAGGATAGCCCGAGTCTACCTTTCTCGATTTCGTCTTTTACGAAGTACCGGAGGGCGATGTGCTTCGTTCGTTTCGCGAACCCATTTTTTGTTCGCTATGCGAATAGCCGATTGGTTGTCGCAGAAGAGGGAGAAGCTGGGTAACTGAGCCAATTTTGCTTCCTCCAGTAGTTCGCGAAGAGATAGCCCTTCCTTGGTGGCTGAGCAGAGTGCGATATATTCTGCTTCTGCTGAGGAGAGCGATTAGCTCTTGCTTGTTCGACTGCCATGAGATAGGCCCGATAGGTTCGAGTCTGTAGATGTAGCCAGTTCGAGATCGTCTGTTGTCGGAGTCTCCAGCGTGATCGGCGTCGACGTAGCCGATTAACTTAGGTGTCGTAGATCCGGTTTTATGGTAAGCTAGTCCGATCGTCGGAGTGTTGACGAGGTAGTGAAGTGCTCGGACGAGTTCAAGCATGTGCTCTGCTTCAGGCTTCTTGAGGTAGGTAGCGAGTTGGCTAGCTGAGAAGGATAGATCCGGTCAGCAGGTGACGGCTGCGAAGAGTAGGCATCCTAGCTTTCGTTGGTAGTCGCGGATGCCGGCAGGTTTGAGTAGAGTGGAGAGTTTGCAATTTCCGTCGGTGTAGCGATATGGCGTGGAGATGACGGTTCGAGTCAGCCCGAATCGTTTAGCGATAGTGTCCGTGTACTTTTCGGCACTGAGGTAGATTGCGTTGTCGCCGTCTTGAATGTTCAGTCCCAGGTACTGTGTCACGGTAGTCGCGACGGTGAGTGTCAAATCCCGCTGTAGCTCCCCTTCAAACCAGGTTGGTATGTTGTCGGTGGAGCCTATGTAGAGGAGGTCGTCTACGTAGACGATGAGTAGGATGTAGTCAGTCCCCTTGGTGAGTCGGTACATTCCTTGGTCGTGCGGTAGTTGGAGGAATCCGATGCGGATTAGGCGGGCGTGAAGGTGCTGCTGCCACAGTCTCGGGGCTTGTTTGATCCCATACAGCGATTTTTCCAGCTGACAGACTTGGTTTGGGCCTGCGTTAGACCCGTGCGGGAGTTCGACGAAGATCTCAGCATCGACGGGGGCGTAGAGGAATGCGCTGGCGACATCGATTTGCCGAAGCTTCTTCCAGTTCATGGCGGCTATCGCGAGGAGAATCCGCAGTGAGGTATGTCGGCTTACTGGTGCAAATGTTTCCGTGAAGTCTCGCCCTTGCTCTTGGTCGAAGCCGGGCACAACCCAGTGTGCCTTGAATTTGTCGATTGTTCCGTCGGCTTTTGTTTTCACGCGGAAAACCCATTTTCCCATGAGAATGGTCTTGTTGCGTGCCACTCCGATAGGCATGACTTTCCAGGTGTTGCGTTCTTGCAGCGCCTTTAACTCTCTGTCCATGGCTTCAAGCCATTTTTCTTTGTGTTCCCCCCCCAGAGCCTGCTGGATGTTGGCAGGCTCCTTAGGTGGTGCTGCTCCGTGGACAGCGGTGACGAGTCCCAGTATCTGCAGTCCACTCTGTGTGTAGCGGGGGAGATTTGCGTCCTCGGGATAAGCTGCTTCATCTCCTGCTTCTGGATCCGGTAAGAAATTTGGTCCTATGCGTTCGGAGACGTTGGTGTCGACCGGTTGGGGTGTAACGTAACCTGTGTCGGCGAAGTCGAAGTAGGTTTCGGCGTTGACACTTTCGCGAGGGTTTTCGTCATCCATCGGGATGGGCACGGAGCAATACGGGAAAGGTCCGGCTGTGAGAATAACAGACGAGAATGAAATGAACTAGCAGCAGGATGAGTACAAGTACTAACCCTGGGTTGTGTTGTGCCCCATATAGGCTACCCCACTACAGACTACACAACATGCAACATATAAGTTTGACACACCCCCATAGGCAAAGTAGGGGAGAACAAGTGGTCACAAGACCAGTCAAGAAAAGCAAAGCAAGCTCAGGGTGGATCACAAAGTCACCACACAGTCCGAGCACAAGCAAAGGGCCACAAGGCCAGTTCACATGCAAAGTTATATAGAGAGAACAAAGAATACAGTGATCATACCCTAGCAAGTGCAAGCATGCAGGTATATATATAGCATCACAGTACAAGCAGAGTCAAGCAGTAAGCAAGTGAGGCAAGGTAGGCACAAGACCTAACACAGTAACAAAGCGCTGATGATCACCAGGCGGAAGTGCCTTGGTGAAGACATCAGCAGTGTTGGCCCGAGTGGCCACGTAAGCAAGATGAAGCTGGCCACGCTGCTGCAACTCTCGAGCAAGGAAGTATCGCAGAGCGATGTGCTTCGTTCTGTGCTCCAGTCTGTGCTCCTGACACAAGGCAATCATGGCCTTGTTGTCTACGTACAGAACTGGTGGCGAACGAGGCTGCTCTCCCAAGTCGGTCAGCAGGTAGGTGAGCCAGCGTAGCTCCTGAGCAGCCATGGCCCCGGCGTAGATCTGAGCCTCACAACTGGAGCTGAGAACAGAAGACGAGCGGGTAGACCGCCAAGAAACAGAGCCGGAACCGAGGCTGAAGGTGTAACCATGTGACGACCGCTGCGTAGCTGAGTCGTCAACCCAAGAGGCGTCTGCGTGACCGGTGAGGACAACTGGACCCCTTCCTCCAAGCACGAGCCCCATGCCAGACGTACTGCACAAGTTGTCAAAATATGTTTACATATTTTATATAATCGTTTGCAGTTGTAGTGTAGATATTGCATCATGTTTGGTGGTGCACCTCTTTGTGTTGCTGTTTACCTATTTGTACTTCCTATTCTCATTAGTGAAGCCCTCTTTTTGGCTTGCATTCTTCTCCTCGTCACTCTCGCCTAGGCCAAACCCTTGGCCCCTAAACTTTACTCTCGACACAAGTAACGCAGTACCCTCTTCGCAGCATCCCAGTGCACCTTTTGGTGCCTTCCGGGAGCCACGTAACGAGCCAGTGGGCTAAGAGGGTACGCGAGGTCGGGTCGAGTGCACGTCATCAGGTACATGAGGCAACCCACAAGCTCTGGGTACGGACCACTCGGCTCTACGGACTCGTCCGAAGGTGGAGCTGAGAGCGAGTGGCTGGTAGACAGAGGAGTGAGCTGTGGCGAGGAGAACTGGAAGCCGAAGCGCTGAAGGACCTGGTGCATCATGTGTGACTGAGTCAGGGTGATGGTGCGCCGTGCTCTGTCTCGGGTGATCTGCAGGCCAAGATAGCTGCACAATTCACCCATGTCAGTGCAGGTGTGTCTCTTCTGCAGCTCCGAATTCACAAGGGTCAGTGCCTCAGTGTCAGCATTGGCAATGGCGAGGACGTCGACGTACACTAGGACGTATAACGACGGCAGCGAGGTGTCGGTGCGTAGAAACAGCGACGGGTCTGCTGTAGAAGGAGCAAACCCAAGAGCCGCAAGTGTAGTCCTTAGTGTGTCGTGCCACTCGCGAGGCGCCTGGCGGAGACCGTAGACTGGCCGGCGGAGGCTGCACTGAGTACCTGCAGGAAACGTCCCAGTGAAACCAGGTGGGTGGCGCAGCCAGATCTCCTCATGCAGGCTGCCCTACAGGAAGGCTATACTGAAGTCCAGGGAGTGCAACTCGTAGTCACGCTGAGCAGCGACGTGCAGCAACACCCGAAGAGTAGTCATCTTCGGGGTGGGGGAGAAGGTCTGGAAGTAGTCAACTCCCTGTCGCTGGCTGAAGCCTTGAGCAACGTTATGCGCCTCGAAGGCAGGCGGAGAACCCGGCGGCCGCTTCACCCTGAAAATCCACATGCCATCGACTCTGTTCGCCCCAGGTGGGGGAACCTCGTCGACATAGGTGCCTGTAAACTTCCAGGATGCCATCTCGGCATCCATGGCTGCCTGCCACTGAGAGGAGTAAGGACCCGTAATCGCTTCTGCGTAAGAGCGCGGGGTCGGGAGCATCCGGGTCTCCCTCAGGGGCAAGCAGCATGGAAGCGAAACGAGGTACAGTAGCTGCAAGACACTCAAATTCCTCGTGCCTGTCCTCAAGGACGTCCGTGCCAAGAGCACACTCACCCCCGACGGACGGAGGATTGGCAGACACAGACTCAGCAACTAGAGCAGTGGCGTAGTCGAGA